GTTGCGTACCCTGGTTGGATTTTCCTAAAGTTTGGTTTTTGGGGGGGGGGGGGGAAGACACACACACGCTTAAAGGGTTTCCCCCAGATTGTTGTGGATAGTATTTCTACCAGCTAGTCTTTGCAAGTCAGCGCCAAGTGGTAAATATGAGGAATGGGACGTGGCCAAAGTGTGTAAGTGAGTTTGGCTCTGCTTTTTAACATCATCATTAGTACATGAGGGAGACCAGGCCCTGCAGTGTGTGTGTGTGTGTGTGTGAGGCGATTGATCCAAAAGTCCTCGCTGTCAACCCAAATAAGAGTGGAAATTATGAAAGCGAAAGAGGAGAGAGGCAGGGTGGAGAGAGACAGAGAGAGAGAGAGAGAGAGAGAGGTTCCACAATTCCTTCAACAATCTTTAGCCTCCATTTAGTTATCAATGGTCCTCATTACTGCTGCGACAGACACCAGCCTTCTAACGCTCTTTTCTCTAATATCTGGATCCCTCGGTTTGCGTGAGAGAAACAGAATTGAGAGTTGAAGGAGGGAGAGAAAAAAAAAAGGAATAACATAAAAAAAAAAAAAAATGGGGGTAAATACAGAATTCCTGTAAATTGGTCAAAAACTTACCCCACCACCCTTAAAATAAAGCCCCTGCAAATAAAATCACAGCAATTTGATGGTCTGGCCTGCCCTCAGTATTATTTAAGTAATAGCCTGTTATTATTGAAGAGAGGGAGAGAAAAAGGGAATGACTATTATCTTTATGTGGGTCCTTTAATTTTAATGCACCACAGATTTATAGCTGGGCATTCCAGTGGGGAGGCCCCTCCCTGCTGTTAAAGGGAGCGGGCGGGACACGACCGCAGTGGCTCTCACAACAGCCACTACCTTCTGACAAACAAGTACAGACTCTCAGAGTTGGAGTGAAGGATCTCCGGCTCTGCCAACGATAAAATACCAAAATACCCTTTTTTTTAAAAACACTTAACCTCCAACGCCTGCCCTCCACCTTTTCTCACAGTGTCTGAATTCTTCGATGACACTTCAGTGATCGACTCCCAGCAGTTTGGGTGTGAAAGTACAGTCTGGTCGTTCCCAGAGGCTGGATCAAGAGCATCTTTCTGCTTTCTTAAATATGTTTTGACAACTGTTGCTATTTATTTTATTATAGATATTTTTTTATTTACCGTAGCATTTCCGGTCTATCGGTTGCAGGAGTCACCAACGTTTGCTACTTGAAGAGTACTTAGTAATACAAAGAGCTACTTATTTGATACAGACTTCCGGAACAATGTACAGCGATCCCTCTCCTATCGTTGTAGTTGCGTTCAAACCGCGAAATGAGGAAAAATCGCAAAGTAGAGGCGAGATACTTATCGTATTATTTACGTATATATTTACCCTTTAGGCTCCTCCCCCACACTGTTATCAACCCTCCCTAGACTGATATGCTGTTAACAGGCTTCCTCTAGCAAATGCCAAGCATGCGGTTCCTCTGGGAATTGAACCCAAGACCCTCCGCTTTCTGCTTCCGATGCAGGCGTGCTTACTGCTGTACCGTAGAAAATGCTACGATGCGTGAGCCAATCAGCGTAAGGAAGACAGAAGAGCCTGCTCAATTAGCTAATAGTACACCGAGTACCCATTGTATTATTCAGTGGCATGCCGTGTACGATCTCGTCTAGGTAAACAAAAACTTTTTACTGCGATGACTAATAAGAACCCAGCTCTCCTCAAGGACAATGACTGAGCTGGTTAAGCAATGATTCGTCATAACTTTGTAAATAAGAGACTTCCTGTCAGACAGTTGGTTGGCCTTTTACCAGAGCTAATGTTAAACCTATTAGGGTTAAAGGTAAAGTAGGTTCACAGCAGTTTGAACATCGGCCTCGGAGCTGGTTAATAGACTGTGACTCTGTGTGAGCTGTGAAACCCTTGTTCTCACCCTCGGTTGACCCCCGCAGCCCCAGCTACTGTGGGCTGGACGGTGGGCAGTGATACCCCAGGTTACTGTGTGCTTTATTAGCCACACATTATACAGCTTGTTTTGTATTATGCTGCAGTCTTGATCAGGGGTCACTGTGCCCCATTAATCAGATATTTTGTCTTTCTCGCCAGGCACTCCACAGGCCACCCCCGACCCCCATGAAGGAGCACCATCTGTCCCCGATGCGCGAAGAACAATTATCCGCCCCAGGGAACGAGGACGGCCCACAGAACGCAGGGGCGGCAGCTTCGGGCACATGCACGTCTGCTAACGTCGGCAACTCTGGAAGCAACAAAAAACCACGATCACGGACCAAGGTATGTTAGCCGTCGTTCGATGATCATTCATCCTCGGTCCTGGTAACCAGCAGGCCTAGTTGTGATGTTTAATATCTGCCTTTAATTCCAGATCTCTCTGGAGGCCCTGGGCATTCTACAGAGCTTCATCCAGGATGTGGGCCTCTACCCAGACCAGGAAGCCATCCACACCCTCTCCGCACAGCTGGACCTGCCTAAACACACCATCATCAAGTTCTTTCAGAACCAGCGCTACCACGTGAAGCACCACGGTCGCCTCAAAGAGCTGGGGGAGGGCGCCGCCGCCAGCGGAGGTGTGGACGTCAGCGAATACCGAGAAGAGGAGCTGCTGTCGGGCTCCGAGGACCCGGAGTCCAGCGAGGACGGAGCTGAGGAGATCTACCAGTCCACAGAGAGCAACAATGGGAACTCGTCAGGGCTGAACCAGGCTCCGACCTCTGGAGGGTCTGGAGGGGCCAACGTCGCTCAAGAGGAAGGCAAGGACAAGGGGGTTAGTCGTCCTGGTGGCACCCTGGCCCCCGGGAGCTCCTCGTCCAGTCCTAGAGAGCAGGCCGACTACCAAAGGTAAAGACAGACCAGAACAACGGAGACGAGCGCGCTAAGAAGGAGAGAGAAAGGCAAACCGGAGATCGATGATAAACTGAACTGGAAAAAAAAAAAACCTGCAGCTGCACAGAAACTGTACAAGACTTTAAAGATAAGGTAGTCTATAAAAAAATAAAGAAAAAAACATGTGACCTAAATCCTTCAGTGGACTCTGTTTAGTGACAATCCCAGACAGACGTGTGAAAACCTGATGGTGGTTCAGTAAAAATTACCTCAGACAGCAGGTTTACAGGACGACGTGCAACGACTGAATTTGTGTAACTGTGAAACAGTTTTACCATGAATAGCATTCAACCCCGCGAGACCTGGACGGAAGCAGGTGACGTTACTGCTGCTTAGGCTTCGAACGACACGAGAGGCACAAACGCTACGAAACGGTTTCTGCGGAACGTGACGAGCCACCGGGCCGATCGTCACGGACGAGGAGAGACTGAACAGTGGCGGAGCTTCATTGGCTCCCAGTCCTGAAGAGTGTCCCTGCTCCTCGTCTCTAAAGTTTGAGCACAGCCCTTCTTTTTACATTTACACTCCCACAAGCCATAGTTGCTTTACCTGACAGAGTGACATTTTTATCCTGGAAGTGTTTCTCCGTCTCTAATATCCCCCCAAAAAAAAAATAAAAAAATAAAAATAAAAAATTTCCTCAGGACACTTACTGACGTTACTCATGCTGTCACCTGCCTGGAAAACACGGACTTGTGGATAACCTATGTTGGTGTAACTGTCACAAAGACAAAAAAATGATGTCCCTGTCCCATCCTCAGTGTCCCACTCCACAGCCCCTCTACCCTCTATTTAGCACTTACTCGTCACAAAGACACTCCTAAATGCCAGGCCTCTCGCTTTAACTACGCCATCCTCCGACTCTGAAGTGAAAGAGCAACTTTAAAAAAAGAAAGAAAAAAAAACCAACCCTTCACTCACAGTACGTGACTTCAATCAAAGATTCCAGACTTTCAGTTAGGTTCTGAGGACAGACACTAAAATCCACCTTTTCTTTTTGTCTGAGTGGAAGTAAGGAACCCAGTTCTCACAGTGCAGTGAGTTCTGGACTCTGTGCTACAACCCCATTCAACCACACACACAAAAAAAAAAAATAACTGAACTGTCACTTTTAAAACACATAGTCTGTGCCAGGAAGACACGCTCGGGTGTTTTTGCCGGACACTCGGAGCCTGTGTGACTGTCTGTGGACGCCCACGTACATGTGGCCAGAGAGGAGGGAAAAAGAAAAAAGAAAAAAAAGCTGAGAAAGGAAGGACAGAGCGGAGAGTCAGCGACCAAACAATCAGTCACTTTATGTGCGGTGTAGTCCAACCCTTCCACTCTTCCTCTCTCCATCACTCTCTCCTCCTCCTCCTCCTCTCTCCAACTGCTGCCCACAGTCCTGTGTTTCACCACACCTACCCACACTTTAACTGCAACCACCCTATTTATTGCTATCTTTATCCACCATTATTATTATCATTATTGTTATTATTGTTGTTATTGTGGTTAGAATTGCTGTCATCATGTGCTTTTTTTTTTTTTAGTTTTATTTCCATGGTTTTAAATATTGGTTTTTAGATCAGAGCGAAGAGAGATGGTGGGACGAATGACAGTAGAGGAGAGGAGAAAAAAAAAAAAGAAAGAAGCAGTTACTGGAGAAAAAAAAAGCATTAAAAATGTCATGTTGTATCTGCCAGATTTTTATAGTTCTGTTTTCCTAAAAAAATAAGACAGAAAAAAGTTAAATGTTATAAAACAAAACTGTGCTTTATGTTGCTGCAGTTGATGACAATCGACGTTTTTTGAGCCAGGAAAGAAAAGTGGCAGGTTTGACTCACTTTTAATGTCTGTAAATACCCTACATGGGATTATAATTATTATTATTATTGGTATACTTTCTTTTTTTTTTTACTTTAATCAGTAACATGTCTCAGTGTTTGAGCCACTTTGGAAAAAAAAACAAGTCGGTGAAAGTCTGTTTGTTTCCATGTGCAAGGCAAATGTAATAGATTGACCAGAGTATTTAAAAAAAACAAAAACAGGCTTATTTCTAATGTTCTGTGCAGTTGTGTGTCAGTGAAACAGTCTGTGTGGTATCGACTGTCCTGCACTCAAACTGTTGTATCAGCCACCGACACGGCTGTGGTTTTTCTGTGTGACAGGAATCAGGGTTAAACTCCAACCAATGAAAAAAATCCTAATTCATCCAGTGTTGAAGTGAATTAAAATTTGTGAAATGAAAAGTAAAAAAAAAAAAACATGTCTGGGTTTTTACTTTTTAAACAGCCTCACACACATTCTGTGAAATGAAAAGTAAAAAAAAAAAATGTCTGGGTTTTACTTTTTAAGCAGCCTCACACACATTCTCACACACACACACACCAGGGTAAGACTGTGTTTGCCGTTTACATTATTTATATTTTATATTCACATATATTTATTATATGTGGTTAGATTTAATTGTAACTTTGCAAATTCTTTAGCTGTATTTGAATTAAAATTTCAGCATTCTACAGTAAAGTAAAAGTAAAAAAATTGCCCATATAAACACTTATCAAAATGTATATTATATAAACATATAAATGCAATGCAAATATATATTAAATAAAAGATAAAATAGCTTCCTATGTAGGTTCTACCCCATTCCCGTCTTCTCAGTGCATTTTCTCCATGTCTTTGTTTAATAAATTATTCTACAAAACTAAAAATACTTCAACTGAAACTCACACTGTCACAGTGTGTACTTTAAATACACAGAAACACACACGGAGTCACACAAAAACGCCGCATAAGAGTAAATGAGTCTTCGGTCTGATCAGCCTCCACACAACAATGGCCGTGTTTAACCTGCCACCAGGAGGGAGTGTGAGTGCTGGACACCTTGAAGGAACCGAGTGACGCTGATGAGCTAAAGGGTCGAGGTCTTTTTTTTTTTTTTTTTTCCTCCACTCAGCTCATCATCTGGACAATCAGCTCAAGCTGTGATTCCGACAATTATTACCACTAAATTATGATGATCTTCTGCAATTTCAGCCTCGCTGTGAGCTGTAGGAGGCCACTGAAAAAAAAACCTTCTCTTCTGAAAAATGTGCTACTCTGTGATGCCACGGATGTACAAATAAAAAAAAAACCCTTGCTTGTCAGACAACAACGACTGCCCAATGTATGGAGCCGTATTTCCGCTAGCTCATACTTTAGCCCAGGGTTGTCAAACATACGGCTCGGCTTTATAAAAGTGAAAAAAAAATATATACACTAATAACAACAAATAATATACACATTTGCATCAAAACAAAGGGTGGAAAAACATGGACTTATTGTCATTTACAGGTGACAGCTAATCAGGCTGTACGTGGCCCCTGAACCAAAATGGGTTTGACACCGCTGCTTTAGCCACTTTCCTCTGGGCCGGACCTTCTGTATGGAGGTACCAGTTGTATGTACACTGACCTTCTCCTTCCTGGATGGGGCGTCCCGTTTCTTTATGTAACTCAATGATCAGAAGTTAAAATGGAAAATGCAACTCAACCTAAATCCGAGTTAACCTCAGAGTGAGTTGCCTAATAACGTTCGAAGGCGTCCACTCCATCTCACAGAGCGCACTGCATTTTTAACAATGGCGTGCATTGTGTATAAAATTGAAGAGGCGAGCGGTCGGTGAGGAGTTGGGGGGGGGGCAGACGGAGGGAACACTGGGTCGAGTCAACAACGTGGCCACAGGAACCAAATATTGCTACATTTGTAATCAAAGAAACTCAGGAAATGGAAAAAAGAAAAAAACAAAATATGACCCAGAGGACTGTTGATGGTGGAATTTACTGGAAACCGTGGAGCTTCCTGTGTTTACTGGGTGAAAGAAAAATCTTTGGAAATTTACATTTTTTCTGAAGGCAAATGTTCAAAGCTAACCGACGCTAACTAGGACACCATCTCGCTAATTTCAGGCTAGTTTGGAATAGCTTTCATTCTAATTACACCATCTCGCTAATTTCAGGCTAGTTGCCTAAACCAGGGGTGTCACATCAACATCAACAATACAGTTCCCCTTGAAGGGACGGGTATAAAAGGAAGACTGTATAGATCAGAGATCCCCAACCTCTGGTCCGCGGACCAGTACCAGTCTATAGGTCATTTGGTGCTGGGTCGAAGTGGAACACAGTGAAAAAAATTTACTTAATTCGAACACAGTGAAAAAAATGTACTTAATTCTCACTAATTTACTACATTCAAAGAAAATCCAGTCATATCCATTACCTTTCTTTATTCAAAAATAATCTGGCAATATTTTAAAATAATATGTCATTCAGACTGATACAAACAGAATAGAGTCTAAAAGACGTCTTATCGGGTCATACAAACTGACTTGGCGGGCCACATTTGGCCCGCGGGCCTTGAGTTTGACACGTGGGCTAAACAAATCAGTCTTTACTAGGGAAGTTCCTCTGCCAAAAATTGTCTGTAAAAAGTCAACTTTACCATCTGATCAAGAAGAATGTCTTGTTTTGAAGCCGCAGCCGATACAAACGAAAAAAAAAAAAGGACTCAGACACATGGAGGACATTATACAGGATAAAACTAATAACTGACCAAAAACCCGATCTGAGTGATGAAGTCCATCCACACTGGACCTCAAATGTTATTACTGACCGAATAAAAAAAAAAAAAGGGAAATTGGATTTTTTCTTTCCGATTCCCAAAACTCTGGAAAATAAGCAAAAAAAAAAAAACTAAATATAAATGCGATTGCTGCTTCCCATTCAACCAAAGTTAATTTAAATATGTGATCGCCTGATGACATCTGTTCCACTCGGATATTTGCTGCTGGTCTTAATGGCGGTTATTAAAATTTTATACCCCTCCCATAAACCTGTTTGTGACGGCATGGTGGGAATACTTATACAAAGGCCTTGAACGCTGCGGCACTTCCTCCCCCGCGTTAGGCTCTTCCACCAACCAACACCCCCCCCTCCGCCGCCCCATCCTTCATGTTACACTCTAACGCGCCGCCTCTGTGTGCCACAGCTTTGTGGCGAGCACCTCTGGTTTTCATTCAGTACCACCCATTCCTTTGTTTCCTTCCACCTCATCCCTAAATCTCCTAATTCATCTCATTATTCGCTCAATTGGTGGGGCTTTAAACCCTCCTGCCCCGGGTCCTACGGAGCTGGTAGTCATTAGGAGCCGGGATTTGCGATGTAGTGGAGCATGGGAGGTTGGGAGGTGGTGCGGCAGGGACTAAAACACTTTGTCTCTCACACAGATTACACACTTGAAGACAATCACATTCGTACACATTCGCAGTGTGATGAAGTGCCTGAGGAAGGCCGCGTGACGTCTCTGCAGTTAAAAAAAAAACCGTGCCGAGCACTAGAGTTGGATGGGAGTCAGGTCTGCCGGGCCGAGACAGATATGCAGACAGACAGACAGACAGACAGACAGACAGACAGTAAAACATGAGGCGGTGGTGAGACCACCCAGAGGTCTGTGGTTGTCACAAGTGGTGCATCTGCGAGCACTGGAGCATCCGCCTAGAGTAATGGATTCTGGGAATCTCTCAGGATGCTAATTTGAACGTCTTGTGAACGCCATCAATTAAAAATCGCTCTTATCACTTCTTTTAGATTTGGGATTTTATTTATTAGTTTAACTCGTTGCCTGAAATTGGCGTTCCCAGTACTGGAACAAACACCAGTATCTGTCTACAGTATAAATAATAGGCGTTCCCAGTACTGGAACAAACACCATTAAGACGTATCTGTCTACAGTATAAATAATATAATCTGTAATTTGGAGAGAAAATTAAACTCCATTTTATTTGTATTGCCCAAATTCGTTATGTGATTTATATTTATTTTAGGGCCGTCAATCAGTTGAAAAAAAAAAATACAGTAATCAGGTTTATCACAGGGGTGTCTGCAGGTTAATTGTGATTAATCATGATTAGTCGTGATTAATCAGCATTCCTGTATATGACATAAGAAATCTGTATATTGCTGGTACAGAAAAACAAATAACAGGAGGTAGATCTATGTGTATAATAATAATGTAGGCATAACTCCAGCGTTAAAATTTCCGGACTATTGAGCGCACCTGAATATAAGCCGCACCCACTAAATTTAAAATGAAAAAACAAAACAAAAAAAAACAGTCTCTCTATAAGCCGCAGGTGTCCACATTGTAACATGGACTGCACTATATTTTGATCCCTGTTTTTATGTCCCAGCCCCTTAGCAACAAACGTATCTCTGATTGGCTCTGGCTCTTCATTGTTCCTACTGAATGCGTGACAAATTGAGCACTGACTGGTCCAGATTTCAGATTTATGGGAGATTTTTCTTGTGTTGATTTTATGAAGGAACGAAAGATGAAATGGGAAAGATGAAATGGGAAAATGCCAAGTGCCACCCACTGTTTATCAGAAGTCATCAATGGATGGATGATGGGTAGATGGATGGATGGATGGATGGATGGATGGATAGATAGATGGAGGATGGATAGATAGATGGATGATGGATGGATGGATGGATAGATAGATGGATGGATAGATGGATGGATGGATGGATGGATGGATGGATGATAGATGGATAGAGTAAAGTTACTTATAATTAATTACAAGAGTAATAATAGGCAAACTATTGTTGACTTAAGACCTTTATAAAACTATAAGAGTCGCCCCCTAGTGGTCCTTGCTCGATCACGATATCCATTCCCTAAATACGGTCTTCGCTCCCGACTCCTTCAGCTTCTGTGTGAAATATCCGTTCACGGATGTGTTATTGACCCATACACCCAATGATCCACTCCACTGAATACAGCAGGAGGCCACAGGTGTGTGAGCCCCCTCTGCACGCTGCATTGTGGGTAATAATAGTTACCAGCAACAGCTGTGTCTCCCTCTCCCCCGTTTTCACCTCTAATGTTCTCTAATCATCCCTCGATCAGTCCTAATAGCCTGCAGTGTTGGCCTCACAGCTGTCTGAGGGGCCCTGGGTATCCAGACACCTGTCAATCTCCCACACTTGAACACACACACACACACCATACAAGTACACACAAACCAAAATGGAAATTCGGAAAGTTTTTTACGCTCATAGATCTCTGTGTACAAGACGGTACAAACGGGAAATTCATCTCTTTCGCAGTGCGGAATTAGACCTTTGATAACATGATATCATTTTTTTTCTTGATGCAAGTTGCACACACAAGGTGGTGTCAATCATATTATAATTACCTATCAATAGCAATAAGTCCAGTTTTT